CATTTTGGCAAATTATAAGAAAATTCTGTCTCAAAAAATATATACTTATGATCTACCTTAAGTGCCGTTCTAAAAGAAGACAAATCTCGGCAACGAATGTTTTTAATCTAGTACGTTAAAAGATGCCTTTGCTTTAATCAAAAGGGTTTATATGTTTTTATGAAGTGATCATTTATCGAATACCGTGTTTACTCTAGAATTCTTGTTCAAAATAAGATTAAAAATCAAAATTCATTTCATCGAAAATTATCATTTGCTTATTTAAATGACTGAATGAAATAACATGCGTTTGCATAACAGCGTCCAATGTTATAGTGTTTTTGTATACATGAAAGGGGACAATTTCGTTTTGAAAATTTTCAACAGAAAAGAGATTTAATGTTCAAATTAAAAGTATGAAAATGTTAGCATTATCAATTATCATAGAAACTCAAGGATGAATCAATACAACTTATCAAAGTTGTGAAATTATTTTTTCTATTAGTATATTGAATTTCCAATAAAATGAGTTACTGAACTGAAGATTATCAAAAGGCTTATATTTGCATATAATGTAATAATCAATTTTCACTTACAGTTGTAAGTTAACTTTCTAAATGGAGCCTTTGATTTAGTTCCAGTCGGCAATTAAGGATGTTCGCTTCTCTAGTTTTTGACCTTTTGTAAGGTATTCGGAATCCTGTGGTGTAATTCATGTAGTGCCATTAAAAAATTTTGCCCACATACCCCTACTTTTCTTTTCATAATTTTATTGTGTATCATTTTAAAAAAGAGTAATTTCTAAAAATTATTTAAAATCTTTGTTATTATTTTCATAGCTTTTGAAAGGAAAGTGGTGCTTATGTTAACTATATGAAAAATCTAAGAGAAAATCATTTCCCGCCAAATTTTCAATTGCTTATATCTCATAAACAAGGACACTGAAGTATCATTTTTTTCTGCTCTTTAAGTTCAGTTAATAATATACTCTCAATTTGTAACAGTCTTTTAAAAAGCTTGTTATTTTGAAACAGAGGAACGAACATTCTTAAGTACCTATTAAACAGGCAATCATTTTAAAAGATGTACACTGTACCACTTTTAACCAATACGTATATTGTCGAAAAGAAATGGTATTTCAGTGGACTTCAATATAACATTAAGGAAACCTGTATGATTATCAATATGAGACAACCCTCCACCAGAGACCAAATGACTACGAATTTTAGCAACTATATGTCATCATAGTGACTTCACCATGAGCAAAACCCATACCGCAAAGAAAGCTATTATAGAAAGTCCGGAAATGAAAAAAAATTTACAATTCAAACATGAAAAAACTAATGGCCTGATCTATGTACAAAACAATAACCGAAAAACAAATATGATATACAAAAACAAACGACAACCACTGAATTACAGGCTCCTGACTTGGGACAGGCACATACATACAGAATGTGGCGGGGTTAAACATGTTCGTTATTTATAAGACATGGGCTATCTTTAATATTTTATTAGCTCCCTCCGTTAAATACGGTAGTTCATAATTACATCATTGAAATCGCCTTAGTTAATGTTGACTTGAACACTTAGAATGCAACAAAAATTTCGCTTCGAACATACTATCCCGTATGTTGATTGGTTGAACTCTGAGTCTTGAGTACGATATTCGTTCTCGAAATTTTTATGACTGCAAGGTAAGAGAAACCCTACATTTTCTTTCGAATTATTTTGTACTTTTTTACCCGACAAGAGAAGAAAACCATAAGTACATAAGTTATTAGACAATCGATTAAAACAAGTAAATGGACGTTGATTGGAGATATTATTACAAACAACGATGTATTGATGCATTGATGAGACAGTATGTAATTTGTTTACAACATATTTATTCACAGTATCGGGATTAAAGTACTTACATTATATATATTTAGCTAAAGGTGTAACACCACTAATTCGGCCCGGCCAGAAAGCACATACCAGAAAGTAGTACATATTAAACACAAAATAGTTCCTACGCATGAGTGTAACTTTCAAAATATGTAGAATATGTAGGTATTGTTGGTATCAAATGAAAGCTGAATGACTGGTGATCATTGTAGAACACTTTTTGACTTATAATTTTGAATATTAAAAAAACTGCACCAAATTTTATAAAGAGGGTGCTTTTTGCCTGTATGTCAGATCTGAAGTACCTGTTTTGGTACATCCGAAGTTCCGGGAACCAGTTCTTTCTTATATGCCATTAAAGGTATGTTGATTTTTCCAGTGCAAGACACAATAAAGTGTTGCTTTGACATGCAATGATTGTCACTTTATTTGAACTTGAAACAAAAGAGCTGTGTCTGCTTGAAATTGAGGAATTTAACATAGAAAGCAATGGGGCCATGAATTAGTGGTGTACTTCCTAAATTGATATTAAGGTTATTTCCTGTCAAATGTTTCTACTATTGAAATGAAAAATACGACATTGTTGTTGCTTAAGTAACGATTTTTCAGTTATGAGTATATATTCATTTTTTATTTGTTAATATTATATATTTTTTTTTCGTGAATACGTATGAAATGTTTAGTGCTATGCCGTGAATTCACACCCCCCCCCCCCCCTCCCACTTTTCCCCCCAGCCATCTTTAGTCATTCAATTGTTATTATCTTTCTACTGCGTGTTTTTTATCTATCGTCCTTGTGTATGTGTTTTTTTTTTTTATCTATCGTCCTTGTGTATGTGTGCGTTTTTTATCTATCGTCCTTGTGTATGTGTGTTTTTTTTTTATCTATGTCGTCCTTGTGTATGTGTGTTTTTTTATCTATCGTCCTTTTGTATGTGTGTTTTTTTATCTATCGTCCTTGTGTATGTGTGTTTTTTATCTATCGTCCTTGTGTATGTGTGGTTTTTTTTTATCTATCGTCCTTGTGTATGTGTGTTTTTTTTATCTATCGTCCTTGTGTATGTGTGTTTTTTTATCTATCGTCCTTGTGTATGTGTGTTTTTTTTAATGCTATTTAATTGATATTTCCTCTTTTAACTATATATATATACTTTATTTCTCATAAAACTACAATTACATAGTTATAGAGAACATACATAAATATAACTATAAGGTACAATTATTACATGCATGTGCGAACAATACAATGAAATTAACTTGGAGGACTGACTTTCACATTTATAACTTTGATAAATTTACATAGTTTTTCTAATATTACAATATTTGATGAATTAAACAGTTGATCAAATTTATAGATATTAGGGTTTGACAAACAGTATTTGGGTAAAATTTTCTTTCTTTCCAACTTAAATGTTCCACAATTCATTATATAATGGTACTCGTCACCAATGTCGTTTGAGTCACAGAGACGGCAGATTCTGTCTTCTCTCGGTAAACCCTGCCACCTTCCAGACTCAATCGGCAAGTGGTGACTTCCACATCTATATTTACAAAATGTATGAATAAATTTGTAAGGCAAAGAAGAAAAATATTTTTCAAATTGAAAATTCTTTTTAAAAATACGATAACATATAGTTTTAGGCGAGTCTGCAACAAAAGCAAAGCAATATTGTTGGAACTGGTCTTTGGGTTTTTGCTCAATACATTTTGTCACCCATTTATCAACAAACTGTGCATTCCATATATTGGACATACCACAATTATCAAAAATATTTTTAATATATGATATCCACTTAGTTTCTATTCCGTTATCATTATAATATAAAAATACAAGTTTGTATAATATAACACAAATTTTACTTTCTTTTCCATTAAGAAGTCTACTCCAGAAATCAACCATTCGTAATTTTACAGACACGGCAATGGGGTATCTGCCAAGCTCTGCATACACAATGAAATTTGGAGTAGACTGTTTTAAATGTAAAATCATTTTACAAAATTGTAAATGTACACGTTCAAGTATATCTATATTTTCAAAACCCCATATTTCTGATCCATATAACAGTATTGGTAAAACCATTTTGTCAAATAAATCAAGTTGACATTCTATTGACAAATTGTTTTGTCTACCTTTTTTTAAAACACTATACATAGCTTTTGTGGCTTGCTCTTTTAAATATTTTTTATTTGATAAAAAGGATCCACTTCTAGAAAATAAAATACCTAAATATTTGTATTCTTTTACAATTTCAATATCCTGTGAACTTGAGATTTGCTAGCATTCTGCCACTCAAAAAGATCAAAACTTTAGTTTTATTTGTATTTATTTTCATTTTCCATTCTTCACAATATTCGTAAAAGGTATTTAACATGTATTGTAAATCGGTGCTGTTTTCTGCTAATAAAACAGTATAATCTGCATATAAAAGTAGAAATAATTTCAAAAACAACGAATGACTACTTTATCTACACTAGAAGTTTAACAATTATTAATTTAGGGTGAGAAAGAGAATATAACAAGTAATTATGATAGTTATTGATCATGTTTTTAAGCCTGGCGACAATATGTTTGTATAACATTTAAATCTTTGTATACATGGTTAAAATAGCTGGTAAAGTGATTGCAAAAACAATATCAATAAGAAACATTATCGACATGTATAACCTTCTTAAAATATAATCCCATACTGAACACCAACAAAAGTCCTTTTTAGTTCTATAAATTTCTAATAATTTTTTGAAACTATTTTAGTTTTTTTAATTTGTTTATTTTGCACAGCATCTTGCATGACAATTGATTATTGATAACGTTCAACGGCAAATATTACATACATTTGGAGCCACCTTTCTTTTAATTAAAATGAATTTGACAAATATTCAAATATATATACCTGTATCTCATTACAATGTATATTTCAAATCGAATCATGTGCAACGAAACTAAATAATAGTTAAATATTTTCTATACAGGTATAATGCTTATCATATAAGTAAAGTAATTAAGAGTTTGACACAAATATTTATTGTGATTCGTGGTGTTAAAAATGACGTCATTTCGATCTACAATACATGTAAATAGTCTTATATTTTGACTTATGTATATTCAATATATACATGTATATTATGAACATTAAAGATCAATACATGGACGCTTTTTCAATCAATACAATTACCCATCATGGAAACCAGAAAACAAGAACGGGTCATTTAAAGGTTTACATTTCTACACACTTATGCATTATTACTGACATATTCAAATTAAATGTTGGATTTAACCTTAGTTTTAGGTGAGTTAATAAATCCTATATTTCTGTACTTTAAGAATGAAAAATTATAATAATAATATTCAGAGTAAATACTGTAATGACAATTGTATGTTGTTTAATAGATATGATCAGTGCTAAATGAAACAGCTTCAAAGGATATAATATATAAATGTATATTCAGTGTTGTATGCGTCAACTTTGGTGGAGTTTCTGTCTTATTTTATTATTGTACGATGTATATTACCTAGTATGTATACAAAGTATGTACTAGACAAATATGTGATATTTTAATTACACTGTACACATAAATTATGATGATGATTATTATTATTATTTTTCTATTTATTATGTATACTGGATATGCATTCTTTCTTCTTCGTCGTGAACATGCATGAAATATTTGCCACTGACCGACAAGCAACCATCAATCAATCAATCATATTGCCTTAGTTGAATTTTAAGACATCTATATATAGTAGTATGAAGACGACACATTTAATACCACTTGGTTGATTGATTGATTGAGCCTGAAAGTTTAAAAGAGATGTTTTAAGAAAGTCAGGTAGGCACTTAAGTGTGTAATAGAATTATACATGGAATACAATAATAATAAGCACAGTAATAGTTGAAAATAAAACAAAATGTGCGTATTACAGAATATTAAGAGAAATGGCACAAGTGGCTACTGGTATAAGTAAAGAGATCGTCCATATATATCTTGGAATTGATGAAAATTTTAGAAGAAGTCAAACTCCATCCGAAAAGAAAATACATGTGCGCATACATTTAAATGTTACTAAATTTGAGTTGTCTCAATAAGAATGATTGGCATTTATTCAACATGTAGGTCTCAAAAATAATAAAGCACAAGGTACGACATCCTATATATTGGAGTCCGACTTTATTTTAAATGTTGTTTGTTTTTTTCTCAGCCGTTGCGCTGTATGTTTCTTTCCAACGCAACCTAATGACATGAGTTCATTAAATTGAGAAGATAAGAAATTTTATTAATTTTGACGCCATCAAAAACACAATAATACAAAAATACAAAAAAAAAAAAAAAAAAAAAAAAATCATAAAAAGACTGATCCCCTATTTATTCTTTAATAGTACATTTTGATAATTGCCATAAATCTTTATTTGAAGTTTAAGCTCGAAAAAAGGGGTCATAATTGGCCTTTTCGGAAAAAAAAATAAAAAAAAATATTCGATGATCTCCACGGCGTTTTTCGTGATTGAAAAACATAAATCATTTTCTTGACCCTTTACCCAATTACCTCAGGTCATTGTCAATAACTGATTGTATACATTGTGCATTATGACGCGAGGGGCGATATCTATTTGCGCCAACAATGAATCCATTTGCGCCACAACTGTTTTCTCCAATGCTTCTTCTGCGTCACTTCATTTTGTAAACTATAGGTTTCATTTGCGATGCCTGTACCAAGTCAGGAATATGACAGTTTTTTTTCCCATTAGTTTGATGTGTTTGAGCTTCTGATTTTGCCATTTAATAAGGGACTTTCCGTTTTTGAATTTTCCTCAGACTTCGGTATTTTGGTTATTTTACTTTTTGCGCCAATAAAACATTCACACAATTGCGTCAATTTTATCAATTTTTAGTTTTACTTATATATATCTTCTAAATCATTTTAGAAGGTCACTCAGATAACATATCAGTTGCTTTTCGTTTGCACTCTGTTCACAAAATCTGTCTTTCTTGTTTCTGAGTATTATTTTCATGTATATGGTCTGATGCCCAACTCAAAATAACAGTACAATATTCATCTGCAAATAGCCTAGCACAACACGACCTAACTGCTCATCATCTATCTAATTTCTCCATTTTTCTTGATAAATGCATGATGGAATTTGTGATCTTCTACAACGATGATAGGTTTCCCTTTATCATACTTTATTTCTTTAACAATATATCAGACATCTTTACATGTGAAAAACTATTCTATTACTGGAAAATGTATTTATTAGTGAGTTTTCTTTCTATACAAATCCTTGGTAACATGTATGATATAGGTAAACAAACATACAGGTAAATGTGGCGCAATTTGATTACATTTATTGGCACAATTAATACCATCAGAAAAATAAAGAGTGGCGCAATTGATACCTTTTCAAAACTGTAATTGGCGCAAATTGATTCTGGCCGACCGGAGCAAATAACAATGATAAAAATGTATTTTTTTTCGGCAACATCATTTCTACATATAAAAAAAAAAACAACAGAAGGCATAGAACTGATCCTCCGGGGACACAAGCTTTAACATTGCATATGTCTTAGACAATCGGCTAACCGCGGGTGACTCCGCTTCTCTCCATCTATCTGTTAGATGTAGGTACGGAATCAGCAGAGTTGTGGCGAATAAGGGCTAAGGAGGATTGATTGATATTCACCATTTAATAATTCAATTTTGGATGTAACGCGTCTTCTGATTGGCTGACGTTGTTTTGTTTATTAGCTCATAGATATAATTTTGTCATGTGACCGTGACGTCATCAACGTTTTTTTCATGGTTTACTCCGGTTTAAAATGGAATTTAGGATTAAATTATAAGAAATGACTAATATTTTTGCTGTCTATTCGAAATAACATAAAAAATGTGGTGCACACTTTTAAATAACCAGCTACGCGTGTTATTCAGTGTGCACCACATTTTTGATGTTATTTCTTCATAGACAGAAAAAATATTACAGTCATTCCTTAAATAAAAAAAAAAAGGATATGAGTTATCCATCCATGACACGAAATCAGTTTATGCACAGCAAAATACACAAAAAGTAAAGGAACAGCGCTTTTATTGCTGTTTTTCATTTCAAAGTCACAGTGAGGCCTTTAACACGGGGCAAAAAACTCTCACCTCACTGCAAGTTTAAGACGGCACCTAGCACCTGTTTAGGTAGAATGCTTTTCAAAGTTTCGTCACGCCACAACTGTGACATGAAGAACATAGTCATGAAGTAATATCAATAAAATAAATTTGTCAAAGAAATCAAACATGTACTGTCATAATTTAGCCCGACAATTACACCGAAGCGTGCAAAAAACAATACAAACATTTAAACAACTACGGGGCACACCGAGATATATGTTAGATAACTTGGCAGGAAATAACGTCTGCTTTGGGTAAATAATTCGGATAAACTATGTAAGATGTAAAACCAACAATTCGGGCCCGGTCAAAAACGTTCATATCGGTAAGTAATACATATTTGTCTTCTTTTCACTTCGAATAGTTATTGAAACAATTTAACAGATTTACATCCATGCCATTTACTTTCATTTTATGCAGCAGATAAGTATGCCAGACATTATCAAATGCTTTTGAGAAAGCACAATAAAACCAATCAACAAATTTCCATTTTTTCTGGTGCATTTAACCTTTGATTTTAGAAATAGACGAATATGATCTCCTATTTCAATTTGATTTAATTTTTGATGTATTCCAAATAAAGATTGAACACATATTCTATAGTGAGTTAAGTCCTTGAGCCTTTATTTGTTACACAAATTGTTATGGAAAGTTTGAAAAACACAGTACGGCTCTCTGGGATAATGTCATGTAAGCTCAATTCGCACAATTTGTGTTTCTAGATAATATTTCTTAAGGTCGAGTTGATTTTCTATGAAAGCTGTGTGAGCTGCAATTTCCGACTTCTTGTGGCAAAATAAATGTCACCCTTTGAAAGAACATGACAAGAATATTTGATATTGCATTTGACTTTCTAATATCTAGATGTATAAATATCGTTTATATATCTAACTGCAGGGTAATAGAAGAAAACCACAGAGCTGAGAAAAAGAGCACAGCACAAAAATGGTAACAGGTACATGTATAATATTTCGCCTATATGTGCGTACCAAATTGATGTTGTATCCTACCTTGGTTTGCTTCACCATTCGAGGTTGAAGGGTGGATTCAAAATAAAGCAAGAGTCGCTATGGTGCAATAATTGTCGCTAAAGTGTGATTGGTGTTACCTTTGTAGTCGGCTTCCTTTAATGCGATAGTCTACCTGCTTTATCTGCTTTGTTGAATCGTGCGGTGATCTATAGAAAAGAAGGAAACGTGGTATGGTTTCCAATGAGACAAGTATCCGTCATAGTGAAAATGACGTGGATTCTAGTAACTTTAGGTCACAGTACTACTTTCAACAATAAGCAAAACCCGTACAGTTTATAAATAGATAGTTATGGAATCCCCAAAACGACAAAAAGTGAAACAAATCCAATCGGAAAAAACCAACAGTACTATTTATGACAAAAAATAAACATATTGAACAAATATGACAGACAGCTACCAACGACAACTACTCGAATACAGTTGAAAAGTATATCTCAGGCAAAGTTGGCCCTAGATGTTTGTAAGCGCTTTTAAGTCATATAGCTCCTCATCTACTCAATTAGTTATAAATCCGGTACCATGACATTATTTGGGTTTAGCGTTCCTAATGGAGGTAAATATCGATAATCATTCGGAATCACCGCATCTTTAGATTGTCAGCTTTCTAAGAAAATTACCCTATAACACAATAAAACCAGAAACAGTATCTTCGGGACGCTATTTTGACTCAGTCAGATAAAACTGTATGAGGGTCTTTATGGGGTTTCCAGGAAAAGAAAATATAGGGGAAATTTTGAGAAAATGGACAAACATTAAAAACTAAAGAGAATATTGAGTTGCTAAAATATAAATAATAGAGAATAATAGGGAAATATACAGAAAAGAGAATAAAGAAAAATTCAAAATACATGTACATCAAAATTCTGAAAAAATGAGGTCCCCTCGCCTCAGAGCGATATTATAGTTTACGATATTTTTAATACAGTTGAGAGCTACATCATTTGAGTAAAAAGCAGATATTAAAATAAGAAGATGTGTTATGATTGCCAATAAGACAACTCTCCACCAGTGACCAAATGACGCAGAAGTAAGCACCTGTAAATCATTTTACGGCCTTCAACAATGAGCAAAAAACCATACCGCACAGAAAGCAATAAAAGGCACCAAGATGACAAATGTAAAACATTTCTAACTAGAAATCAACCGGCCTAATGTATATACAATACAATAAACGAAAGCAGTTATGATATACAAACGGTACAAACGACTATCACTGAGTTATATTCAGAGCTAAAAAATCAGTTCCAACCCACGTTGGCTCCTGACTTTTGGACAGTCACATACAGAATGTGGCGGCATTAAACATATTTATAGCAGGCTTCCAATTCTCCCTTTACTGGGACAGTGGTACTACATCATAACAAAAGAACAAACTATACAAAAAAAAAAAAAAAAAACAAAAAACAAAAAACAAAATTAATATGATAAACGACAACCACTCAGTTGCATGCTTCTGACTTGGGACAGGCACATATAGAATGAGGCGGTGTCAAACGTGATTTTAGGCGCCCAGTCCTCCACCTAACCAACCGGGACAGTTGTGTAACGGCAAAAAAAAAAACCCAAACCATTAAAAAACAGCAGAAAAGGTCTTTACGCATCGGATCAACACAAAACAAACAACAACAAAAAAAACAAGTAACAAACGCACAAAAAAAAAACCAAGTAACGAACAAATAAAAGACACAAAGTACAGATTGGAGAGATAAAACATGACATTGCGCAATGCCAAAATATAGGTATCGAAAAAATGTAGGACAGTGAAATTTCAAAGATGTTTAGCAATAATATACTAGTTGGGTTTTAATTTATTCATAATAGCATCAACATTTATATCGATAAAACAATATTCAAAGACCCAATTACATTGTTAAATTGGTAACCTTTTAAAATAAGTTTATTTAAAGGATCAAAAAGTTTACCCGGAACATATTTAATTTACGGGCACGATAAACAACATCAAATTAAAACACAGGGGTTGTGATTATTTGTATTTGTAAGATATGTGTGTATATTTTTCATGGAATAAAACAGAACATTTGCTAATATAATCGCAAACAATTTACTAGTATTTGTAAAATGTACATTTGAAATAAAATTGAAAGTTATTTTCTATTTAATTTCAGCTGCGAATAAAGAGAAATCCGTCGATAGCCTTTGTTGTAGTTTTGCATTTTTTCTTGTATGCGCATGCATGTTTTTTGTACTGGGAGGAATTGGCATTCAATATTTTTCTAACGATGAGACATGGGATACTAGTAAATGGTACCAGTTGTACATCGGCGCCTTTGTTATAGCTCCAGTGGTAAGTGACATCGCATTCTACGTATTTAGTACAACACATCGGACATCCCGATCCAAAATCCGCGGAGGAATCTGAAACCTAAGGAGCAATTACATTAAAACTGATGGGTAGGTAAAATCTGAATCTTATTCCCACGGAGCATAATCCTATGGAGCGCAATAATTAATATATTTAGTCTGAAAGCCAATTGAATGCATTTATAACAGTAGTTTTTGTATGTCACACTAAATTCATGGCACATGTATCTGTCAACATTTGTTGTTTGCCTAGCATGAGGGGGGGGGGTGGTTCCTCCATTTCTGTATTCTTTAATTTAGAGGGCCATTTCTTACTTTTTGCCCATTATTCTCCATTCTTTATATTGTAGCACCTCATTATCCTCTATTCTTTATTTTTTTGGTCCATTTGTCTCTATTCTTTACATATTTTGCCCATTATTCTGTATTCTGTAAACCCCCATCCACACCCTCCAGCATCCGATGGTAAATATTTCATGCATATGCATTACATTAAAAAGTTTTGTATCCTAATGTAGCTGCGGAGGCATCATGTTGAATACAGGTTCACGTACTGATGTAAATGAAAAAATATAAATCAAATTTAATTAGCAAACATTAATTTTATAACTAAAAATTTGTCCTTTTTTTATATAATACAGTTTTATATCTTTACTATTGAAACTCATTATAAGAAATATGGCGCACTTATTCGAGACTTAATTTCAACTCTAACGATTCATTATTTTAGATTACTCAAGTCTAGTTTAATCTACACCAACGACAAAGTTTCCAATGTTTTAGGAGTTTGATTTATCGTTATAACATTAGCTGTGGAACTGATGTATGTTTTTAATCATGGATGGTAGACTTTTTTCATATTACCGACTTTTGACTCCGGATTGTATAATTTTTCAACAGGTTACATACTCTGTGTTGGGACATCCTGGTACTCGATCAAATAAGAGCAACCAAATTTAAATCAAACTTGCAATCGGTACAATTTTGGGGGAAAATTTACTTGTTTATGTTTAATGTAGACGACAAAATCAACGGAAAACAGTAAGCTTTCCCCTTAAAATGCACCGATTATATGTTTGATTTTACTTCTGTGGTTGCTCTTACTTGACCGAGTTAAAGGATGTCTTACCACTGACTAGGTAATCTGTCGAACAATATAAACTCCGGAATCAAAAGTCGGTAATACGAAAATAGTCTATTAATTAGATATAAGAAGATGTGGTATGAGTGCCAATGAGACAACTCCCCATTAAGATGATATTTTATTTTGTTAGGCGCTGTTAAATTCTCTATGGGCATGCATCACTGTAACCAAAGTGAGGGAAAACAAACAGAAAGAGATTGATGATTCAGTAAGTTATCATTAATGTATACATATACAAACAAACTAAAACTAAAAGGAGAAATAAAATTGAGAATGGAAATGGAAATGCCAAAGAGACAACAACCCGACCAAAGAGCAGAAAACAGCCCAAGGCCACCAATGGGTTTTCAACACAGCGGGAAAATGACGCACCCGGAGGCGGGCTTCAGCTGGTCCCTAAACAAAAATGTATATTAATTCAGTGATAATCAATAATGGTCGTCACAATAAACTCCGAAACATATAAATGAACTAAAATAATAAAAAAAAAAACATACAAGACTAACAAAGTCTAGAGGCTGCTGACTTGGGACAGACGCACACATGCGGCGGGGTTTTGTGAGATTTTAACCCTCCCCTATACCTCTAAAAGGAGAAAGTTTACCAAGAACAGTTATCTGATTCCGGAAATTCCGAAATAAGTACAGTTCTTTAATCTTTTCAATATTATGTTAGTTCTATGATTGATAATTGAATATAACAACATTATGTGAACAGCTTAGAACAGAAATGCTAGTTGTGATGTTGCTCTGATGTCATAAATGTTAGAATTGACATGACATGACTATTTTTCACATTTCTTTGCAAAATAAGATATGAGCGATTGAATTGAAAAGACCAATACGTTGCCTTATTATTCCTTCACTTTTGATAAAATAAAAAATACCATTCTATGCAACACACTGCCTCGAGTGGTTCCCGCAGTAGCATGCTCGCCTCAAATGCCGGAGTTCCGAACTGTGGCCGAGTCGGTCAAAAGACTTGGAAATTGGTATTTGCTAATTCTCCGCTTAGCACACAGTATTTAGGAGTAAAAGACAGGTCAAACCGCCGGAGTCTGAATAATGTGGCCGGGTAGGTTGTTATGTCTGCCTGAGGACCACTACCAAGTGAACTAGAACGTTAAAAATCTGGCTTAGTGTATCGGTCTAGTACAAAGCAGTCTCCGTATCCATATCACATTAACACGTTCTAAAATAAAATTGAGAATGGAAATGGGGAATGTGTCAAAGAGACAACAATCCGACCAAAGAGCAGAAAACAGCACAAGGCCACCAATGGGTCTTCAACACAGCGAGAAAATTCCGCACATATGCATTTACTTTTCCACTGGACGTTAAACGGTCATTAATCACCATGATATGTCATAATTAGTTTCTGAATATTGTACATAAATTTACCTTCACCAGGAAAGCTTAGACTCAAACATCTGACAGCCAGGTATGTATAAGACCTAAAAACGTTCAATAATCAAACATCTGACAGCCAAGTAAGTGTAAGACCTAAACACGTTCAATAATCAAACATCTGATAGCCAAGTATGTATAAGACCTAAACACATTCAATAATCAAACATCTGATAGCCGAGTATGTATAAGACCTAAACACGTTCAATAATCAAACATCTGACAGCCAAGTATGTTTAAGACCTAAACACGTTCAATAATCAAACATCTGATAGCCAAGTAAGTATAAGACCTAAACATGTTCAATAATCAAACATTTGACAGTCAAGTATGCATAAGACCTAACACGTTCAATAATCAATCATCTGATAGCTAAGTATGTATAAGACCTAAACACGTTAAAATAATCAAACATCTGACAGCCAAGTATGTATAAAACCTAAACACGTTCAATAATCAAACATCTGACAGCCAAGTATGTATAAAACCTAAACACGTTCAATAATCAAACATCTGACAGCCAAGTATGTATAAAACCTAAACACGTTCAATAATCAAACATCTGACAACCAAGTAGGTTTAAGACCTAAACACGTTCAATAATCAAACATCTGACAGTCAAGTATGTTTAAGACCTAAAGAGTTCAATAATCAAACATCTGACAGCCAAGTATGTTTAAGACCTAAACACGTTCAATAATCAAACATCTGATAGCCAAGTATGTATAAGACCTAAACACGTTCAATAATCAAACATCTGACAGCCAAGTATGTATAAAACCTAAACACGTTCAATAATCAAACATCTGACAACCAAGTAGGTTTAAGACCTAAACACGTTCAATAATCAAACATCTGACAGTCAAGTATGTATAAGACCTAAACAGTTCAATAATCAAACATCTGACAGCCAAGTATGTTTAAGACCTAAACACGTTCAATGATCAAACATATGATAGCCAAGTATGTATAAGACCTAAACATGTTCAATAATCAGAACTCAACAGTAGTGTACGTACGTAGTTCAAATGTCAAAAATTTATTCAGATGATAATAACCAAGGTAAAAAACCGCATGAACTCCAAAAATTAAGCAATAACAGATGCATCGACACGGTAACCATCTCCTGCTATGCATTATTTTTACTGCTAGGCCTATAGATATTGAAAAGAACACGGAAGTATTTTGAATGGTTTTGACGACTGAATCTTTACACGTATAGGAAAAAGGAGATTTTAGATTAATACCAATGAGTCAATAACCTAAAGACACATAAGTATAAAAACAAACGACATCTATATCAATATTTGTATGATTCAAATTGATTTGACGTTGTCACTGAAAACAAAACGAACTGACCCTCATAATTTTATCGTTATACTATACATGTGTATGACCTGTACCAACATTTGGTGGTCCCAGTGAAAATATGGTGATCCTAGTATATTTTTAGAAAAAAAATGTGATATCATTTATTTTCATAGATATAGGTATAAAGATGATTAGGTCAATTCTCACAATAGTTATATAGTTCCATATCGAATATTGATATGTTCATTGTAATCACGGATCGAGCTATACTAAATACCATATGAAAAAAAAAATAAACCGCTAAACACTTTGAGATGGATATAAGGACCACGACTACACTCAAATTTGGCCACCTACATTTGTTTCTTGTTAGAGGGCCGACAGCACCGATATTGTTGGGTCGGATATCATAAACTGATATCATGAGATACAAATATTAGAGCTGATATCGATAGTCACTGTGACAAGTTTTAGGTTTAAACCCTAAGTTTAAACTAAATGCTACTAACGTTAATGTTAATGTTTTTGTTTTTATTTTCTGAATCGTTTTAATTGATTATTGTTATCTTTCTAAACAATGTGAGAACGACATATTCGGATCGGAACACTTAAAGTGGTATCTTATGTTTTTAATCAAACTCCGTACATTAATCGATCCCGTTTCGGAATATATTTACGTTACTACATAAGGGTAGAGCAGTATGCGGATCGCGGCTGGAACTGACATGGAGTTTGGTTATAACTTAGTTTATATTAGATTTACTTAATTCAATTTTGTTCATTTCAGATTGGATGCATATGGTTATTGCTTTTCTTAGCTGCTGCTGCATTTGTTGTCGGTGCAGTTTTCCTTGGTGGTTTTTCTGAACATTCAAGGGCTTTGCATGAATGTGAACGAAATGAAACGAAGGCTTTAATCACGACCAGTTTAGAAGATCACTGTAGTGATGCTACATACAAAGCGTTTTGCATTTGCTTCATTGTTGGTCTAGTCCTTTTTGGTTTAACTACTTTATGTAGTTGTTCATTCCGATCAAAAGAAAATGAGAAACTACATTCACGTTCACACCAGGTGGCGCCAAAGACGTCAGCACCGAAGGCAGTACCAGCCGTCAACAAGTCAGATAACAAAGGAAATCTAGAAAATGATCAACTTAAGACACAAAATCAGACTTTGACAGGAGAAAAAGAAAAACTTAACAAACAGTTGAAGGAAACAAAAAATCAGAACAATTCGCTCAAAGACCAGGTAACAGTGCTTCAAAAAGAACTAACGGAGATAAAAGAGTTAAATTTACAGCTTCAAATGCAGCTCACCAAGGCTAAAGAAACACCACAACGGTTAGATTCTGAAGATCTGTACAATAGGGAAAGCTATAATCAGCCGCCTCCATTAGCTTACACAAATATACCTTCAACAGCCTGGACAGTTGGTAGTCCCCCATCTGCTCCTCCGCCGGAATATAGTGAAGTACCAAATAAATATTGACACGTGTTGAAGTCAAGTAAATATTGACACGTGGAGTAGTCACTATAATATTGACAAGTGTTGTGGACAATAAGATATTGACACGTGTTGTAGTCCCTATATTATTGACAAGTGTTTTGGACAATAAAATATTGACACGTGTTGTAGCCGAGTTAATATTGACACGTGTTGTAGCCAGGTATATAATGACACGTTGTCATGTTTGTAGTGTTAAATTAAATTAAATATTCACACATGAACACCTACATTAATATTGATGTCATACATAATAAATGATTTTTAAGATTTAAAAAAATTAGATATATAAAAAGATTAATCTAAAGTTTAGCGACCTCAAATAAATACGCATCAAATATGTGTGATTTAAAAGCAAAAACAAATAACGTACCTTTTTTATATAATGTATTAATCTGTCGTACTTTATAATACAAATACATTGTATTTATTCTGATTCGCATGATTAGAAATTCAATGTACATGTATGAGGGGAAATGGTGTATAGTCTCTACCATATGGCAAAATTTGGGGTAATTTGCTAATTTGCATAGCGGCCATTTTGCCTTATCATGACGGCAGCCATTACAATAGGATTATATAAGCCCTTTTAATAAAAATGCCAATATGCAAATACCTATGTCGAATTAAACCATTGTGGTGACGTCAGCCTATTCATTTACCGTGGATTCTTTTTCTAGAATCAACGCTTCCTAAATCTGCCGCTGAAATTGACTCACCAAATTATATTCAATTGTTTCCTTTGTGTGCCTAATTTCATTAAGTTTGAATTGGCTAATTTGCTGATTTCTGTTCACAAATGGAATTAATTTAAAAACTTACCTTTAATTTTTGTAATTTTTATATGCCTTCACTGGGAATCGAACCCTTCCTTGAAATCTGTTATGTGTGACTGACATCAACACATCGACGAAACCTCTCGGCTACCAATGGGTTACACTATAGATGTCTATTTTATATATTTAAATGAACATCTGATATACATCGGTTCATCGGACACACAGGGCTTGTACCTTTATATAGACACAATAGGCAGTCGTATAGGATGAGTTGGTAGCCGCGAGGTTAGCATGGTTAAAATCAATGAGTAAAAGATAGGGATTTGTCGGTTAGGTTCGAATCCCTGTATTCTCTCTGTTGTTCCAATTCTTAAGTAATCCTGTTTTTTTTTCTAATTTTGCATGCTATAGTGGATATTTTTGTAATAATAGCGAGTTTTACAGTTTTTTTAATTATTATTGGCTATTTCACATGTTTGAAACAAAAATGATTACATTCTATTAGTCAATTTTTGTTTTATAAATATAGTATGATTTCATCTGTTTTACTACATAATTTTACAAAGGTTTGTTCGCAAATTACTATGCAAGAAAATCGTGATGTGCCTAGAGTGCTAGAAAAATTTCAATAACATACTTATTATATATACTTTATATATGCTTTTTGGTCGGGTTGTTGTCTCTTTGACACGTTCCCCATTTCCATTTTCAATTTTATTAAAAATAATTTCGAATATGTCTTATTTTGTATAAACAGATAATATTCATATGCCTGGTAATATAAAGATCTTTAAAGGTAGAAGTGTTATATTTGTATTTTGTTAACCAATTAATTGTGATCTGAAATTTATCAATGCATCGTTGGACACGATGACATGGTTATTTAAACTCACTTACAATACCTTCTAATTAAGAAAAGGCTTTAATTTTGAAAAGAAATTAACACAATAGTTTAAGTTATAGATACAATGGATAAGCGTAGATTCATGAAAAACAAACCATTCGCCCTCCGGGCTCATGGTTTCTTTTTCAAGAATCCACGCTTATCCATTGTATCTATATAACTGAACAATTTGTTCGCATATAGGTGAATTGTACATGTTTTTAGGCTTCTGTCCGTGTACAAATGGACATTGTCTACTCTGAAATCTTTCGGCCTTTTTAGTTTAAAAAATCGGAAGCGTAACCATTGTGTAATTGTTATATAAGATCAAATAAAATGACGTAAAATCGTAAAATAGCAAGATTCAAAACAGAAATACACATGCAAGAAGATATTGTTCATGATTTGTTCGCATATAGGGACACACCTTGTAGGTTGAATTTTAAAGTTAAATAACTTTTAACTTACCTGCTTTCTTAAGTTTTCGGCCAAATTCTTTTAAAAACTTGATGATTTCAACCTTCCCATTTCGTAATAAGTCAAATTTTAAGCATTTTCCCTTAGAATTACACAGCATTTTTGTAAATATCCGCCAAAGGAAGTTTTTAAAGATACATTAGTTTTAGATACATGACAAAAAAGGACTGGATTATCCGCAAATCTATAATAAATTATATTTTCAATCTTAAGCTAAGGGAAGTAATTTGATCAAAAGGGACAAGGTCACGTGGTGCAAATGATTTAAATAAAGTACCTTTGATTTTTGCCATATGACCTACCCAATCTCCAAAACATCGGTGACGTTGCTTTGCTTAACGTAGTTAACTAAGCTGGACGTCATCAAGGTTGTATAATTAGCCTTCTCCTAATCTTAAGGACAATTGATAATCTCATTGTTCGTAAACAGAAATGAAAATGACATTACGTCATTGATTATTTTCCATTGCTTAGTACGTTGTAAACCAATAACATCCTTGGTGTACGCTTTTGAAAATATTACACACAATTCATTTGATTCTTAAACGGCGAATTGACGTCATGGCACTAGATTATATAAAACAAATAACTGCCCTCGTTGGTCCAATATTGTTGTCCTGGGTAGACATTATTATTGAAAATACCACGTCTGTTCTTTGAGGTGATATTTTAACACTAAAAATACTTTCTTTTAAACGTTATCCTCAATTTTTAATTGTGTTAACCAGTAACCAAACAGCTAACCTACAAGTGAATTTTAATAAATGTTCGTCATAGACGGCAGGACTACGAGTAACATCATTGCATGTCACAGATCAATTACAACATTCAAAAATTAGGTCCGAGTACATAGTTATTTCGTAGTGCATTTCTTTTAGACAATAAATGAAAATAAAAAAAAATCCCACCTGCGCTTTCTAAATAATATTTTTTACAGTGTGTTGTACAACTTTTGGGACAAATTATAACAAAATTATAAAAAACTTCATCGAATATGGAAAATTTTATGTTAAGGGGGTCTTGAAATCTTTTGACAGCTTCCGAAGTGCTAATTTTTAACCTTTTTCAGCTGGACCAAATCACTACTTAACTTTAAAATTCATGACCCATTTTTTTTACAGTGTAATTTCACCCCCTACTTGCTATTTGAGGCATAAAACATGACGAAATATATTGGAAATCTAAACAAAAGACAGTATTCAAAAGTTCATACATAGAAAAATGTTTAGGACTGATGCTGCGACTTTAGTTTTAGTTTGGTTTGCTGCATAATTCCTTTTTTCTTCGTTTATCTCTTATGAACAACATCATCTTGCTAACATATTACCCTTTTCTCAAAATTGCAATGGGCGACTATTGAGAAGACGGATATGTAAGATATAAACAAGTATTTATGCAAATCTGACTGTTGTTCAGATGAAGAAAAATTCTTCTCTGCTATAATGTAAGTACAAAAAGACAATCTTAATGTTATATGTATCTGCATTTCTGATAGCAGAATTTTCATCATAATATTGGTCATATTGTGAAATCTCTAATCACACATATCAATGTATAAAAAATATGCAAGACATTTTATTTTTATAACGGATCTTCATGACAATGTTATATATAAAAAGTATTATAACTGCATAGTATGAATAAAAAAATGAATAGATGTGGTATGATTGTAAACGAGACAACTCTCCTCAAGAGACAAAATGACAAATAAATAAACAAATATAGGTCACCGTACGGCTTTCAACAATGAGTAAACCCATACCATATATTCAGCTTTAAAAGGTCCCGGAATAACAAATGTAAAATTCAAAAAAGACAACTAACGGCCTGATTTTTGTACAAAAAGATAAACGATAATGAAAGAAAAACAAATATGATATACAGCAACAAACGACAACACTGAATTACAAGCTTCTGACTTTGGAAAGACATAAGGAGAATGTGGCGGTGTTAAATTAATTCGAAGGCCTCCACCTCCGAACCCATAGTACAGTGGTGTAACAGTACATCATACAACCAAACTATAAAAATCAGTTGAAAAAAGCCTAATTTATCAGATCGATATACAGCAAAAATACATCTTAGCAGAGTACTTGAACATCCCCACAACAAAAAGACACTAAGTACATATCTGAGAGTACTTGCTGTTATTGACAGCTTCTAGTTTTGCAATGCCAATATCAACTGATAAAAACATGCATCTGAGACTAAGATATCAATCAGTACATATCCAACATCCAATGGATGACTATATTAGTGGTATAAATATGACTATATAAGTGTAAATGACATAAAACTACAAGTTTCATAATTGTTCAGTTGAATCAAACAGTTTCAGCTTATTTTCAGATTCTCGTATATTTCCTCAACATTGTCAGCTTTGCATAGAATGTTCGCATGAGCACCTGATTCGATATTGTCAGCCTTGCATGGAACGTTAGCACCAGCACCTGTTTTAGCAGTGAATTGTGTATTAGCATAGACATTACTCTCAGTATTCCTGCAGGTGTCATAAACCCCACTCTGTATACCACTAGCCCGTCCGATGCAATCATAATCATTTTGTTGGCTAGTTCCTCTTAATTCAGCCAGACTTTCGGTGTTGCTGAAACATAAATAAAGGATTTCTGGTCAATGAATGATAGGCTGAAATTACACTTTGATAATTATGTACGGGCGATTAACGACATTAAATAACTAGACGTCGCTATGGTGTTGTCGTGTAACTAGGAATGCTGGATCAAATATTTAAGCTTTTATACAATAAAAAAGAACAACGATGCATGAAATTTTTTATCTAATTTCTTTGAAACATGAGAATTTGAAATGTACATAAATAGGGATAGTGCAAAGTTTAAAGTATCAGTACAACCTACACGATATCTTTTATCAAATTGCATAAAGCATATACACAATTCTCGACGCAATAAAAAAAAAAGAAGAATCAGTACGAATATGTATTTTCGCAGATACAAATTATACTATTAGTTAATGAAATGAGAACTTACCATCCATTTCTCTTTCTTTTTGCTAAAAAATAAAACACGATACATTAATATAAGAGATAAGACCACCCTGTGATCACATATTTAACATGTTCAACCTTTCTAGTTATAGTATATCAAAAAAAATAATTTATGGTCATTATAAAATAATTACAATTTATTTCGATTTGTGACTGTGGCCTCGGTCGCCAAGTGGTCTAAGTAGTTTTACTACTGTAATCACTAGTCAGTCAAAACTGAGGTTGTCAGTTCGAACCCTGCTCGTGCGGGTGCACTCGACTCCAATCTTAACTGACTAGGATTGTCAGTTTTCCATTGAAGGTCGGTGGTTTTCTCCGGCTTCTTCCACCAATAAAAACTGGCCACCACGAAATAGCCCAAAAGTGGTGCTTAAAAGTGGCGTTAGAACACCAGCAATCAATCGTTTTATTAACTGAAATTACCTTTAGAAACTGTAATTTTGTAAATGAATTGGAGTGAGGTACAAATGGATACAATTGCAATGATGAAATATCAAAAGTAGCGGAACATTTACTTTAATTCCCCGAAAATGCCTTTCATATATCAAACACTGTTGAATATACATACTTGACACATTCCCCATTTCCATTTTCAATTTTAAGTATTTGGACGACTTTGTAAAGGAATACGATTGTAATTCGTATTTCCTCTTTGAAGATGTAGAAATATGTCTTCGTCTTTTGGAGTGACTTTGAACATATGATGAACTTGTGATATCAATCAAAATTTAATCGTGGACATACTCGTTTTAGCCAGGCACATAATGACTACTAGTATATGTATAATACTTTTCATTTTGCATTTTAAGAGTATTATGCAGCAATAATAACTTTTCTTATCTCAATATTCAGCAGTTTGTAGGATGACTTAATTCCAATATGTTAGAGGATAAGATATATTCTGAAATAGATGTATTATCACACCTTTTTCTTAATTTGGTTGATAGTTACGCAATATTGGATATTGGAATGACCACGGATATAGTTCAGTTGTCATAGTCACAATCCCGCCGTCCTTCTCGCGAGATTGAGATATTTCTTAAATTACTTGCCATGAACATCACGGCAAAATGTATTCCATCTTCCAACATGAGACTAGATTCTGAATAATATATCTCGGCCATTCATGTAATCTCTGCAGATAATGATTTGTCTAATTTTCCGTTTGTAAGTTTTTAATATGTTACCCTCTGTCTTGTTCTGGTTTCGAATGCAACACTATTGGACTAGTTTCATTTATTGACTACTATTAAAATGTTTTGTGTAGGGTTCTTATTTCCTTAGCAAAAGTAATTCACAAACACTTCCCAACTGTATTTATATATTTATTTGTATATATTAAGACGTATAATTCCTTATCAATTGATATTTCACATAAACTTACCAACTTTATCAGATCTAAATCTGCGAAATATAAATAAAGCTGTACACGTTATGACAGCAGTTACAACGATGCAAGCAACTGCAACACCCACAAGAAGAGCAGATGAGACCAAATATGATGTATCCTCTTTGACCTGTAGATGTGCATCTGCAAAATACAAAATGTGTTTATAATAAAAGAAGAGAATGGCACTTTTTGCACTGCATTAGTTTTAATTATAGATTAAACAGTATAGATGTTGGTGTGATTTGCACAACTTTCAGCATTCGTTGCTATCTCTTTGACACATTCCCCATTTCAATTCTCAATTTAATACAATATTAAGAAAATTTAGAGTAAATTTATCAAGATAGGCAGTACATGAAACAAATCAATCTATTGCCAGGAGAAAGAAAACCAAAATAACTTATGGATATGACACCAGAATATGAAAATAAATAGGAGGAATGATAGACCAACATCTAACCTTACCTGGACATATGTCTTGATAGCATGCTTGAATGTCGATATCAAGTCCTATACATTCAGAGCCCCCGAAGTACGGTGAAGGGCTGTCACATTTCCGGATTCGGTGTTTGGATCCGTTACCACAAGTTGTATTGCAAGGTTGCCACTCTTGCCATGCACTCCATTGTCCATCAACTATAAAGTGTTGTTTGATATTATTCACAAATATCATATGGTAAATTTTAAGAACTACAATGTTAATGAATTCACCAGTTCGACATTGGAAATCTGTCGGATTACAGTATACATTAACTGGCTAGAAAAAGGCTATATAAATGCTTACAAAGATATATCAAAAGGTACACGCTTTCGTCAAACTGGAATTAAAAATTCCCTACCAGAATCAATCCAGTTTATGCGTGTCTTAAGCAACGAAGACTACTTTAAATTATAGTTTTTATAAAAAAAAAATAGAAGGATAATAACCAATTTTACTTTACTTAATGCACATTTTGACAATTGATCAGATGTTAATGGTACCTCGTGTATGATACCTTAACTTTACTTTCCGCTATATAGATGATGTTCTCTCACTAAATAATTAAAAATTTGGTGACTATGTTGAACGCATCTATCCCATCGAACTAGAGATAAAGGATACAACAGATACAGTTAAGTCTGCCTCATATCTTGACCTACATCTAAAAATTGACAATGAGGGTCGAATGAAAACAAAACTTTACGACAAAAGATGATGATTTTAGCTTCCCATTTGTGAACTTTCCATTTCTATGTAGCAACATTCCAGCAGTGCCTGCATACGGAGTATATATCTCCCAATTGATACGATATTCCCGGGCTTGTATTTCCGATCATGATTTCCTTTAGAGAGGGTTGCTGCTCACAAGGAAGCTATCAAACCAAGAGTTCAAAATGGTGAGGTTGAAATCATCCCTTCGTAAATTTTACGGACGCCATCACGAGTTGGTTGACCGTTATGAAATAGTCGTTTCACAAATGATATCGGATATGTTCCTTATGTCGTAACTACAATCCACTTCCCTCTTCACCACAAATGTGACCTACCGAATTAGACTATTTACCGGGGTGGTAATAACATGAGCAACACGACGGTGCCACATGTGGAGCAGGATCTGCTAACCCTTCAGGAGCACCTGAGATCACCCCCAGTTTTTGGTGGAGTTCGTGTTGCTTAGTCTTTAGTTCTCTATGTTGTGTCTTGTGTACTATTATTTGTATGTTTGTCTTTTTATTTTTTAGCCATGGCCTTGTCAGTTTATTTTCAATCTACTAGTATGAGTTTGACTGTCCATCCGATATCTTTCGCCTCTCTTTTTTAACATGACAAATACATTTCCGTTAAACATATTTATGTAGTGGGATAACCGATTTGTAACCTGAAACAAGACATTACTTTTACAATTCTCGTTGTTGCAAGCACGACTTTCTATCGTCTTTCCATTGCAGTAAAGTCCCCCGTTAGATGGCAGAGGAGCATCACATTTCCGATTTCTATCCTGAATTCCTCCATTACAAGTTTCACTACACGTATCCCAGGATGACCATTCACTCCAGTTACCATCAACTAAAATTACGGAAATATGATAGTGTATATTTTATGAAAACAACGATAGCCCGATCATAGATTTAACAGATTTTTTTTTAATAGAATCACAAATGGAGAGTTTATTACATTACTCAACAAACAGTGTGTAAGCTGATTACATATCACCTTCTTGAATTACTTTGTACCACATCAGAAGCACATAGCAAAATCAACAGCAATCAATGTTGACTGCAGCTATAAGGGCTATGTTGATTCCAATTGCAATTGCTTGTTAAAAAGTTAAACGCAGAAACTGTCTTGGGGGACTAAATTATACGAGATTTAACGAGAAATAGAGTACATGAAAATAATAATTCTACAAAGAATTCATAGAAAAAAAAAAAAAAAAACCACAAGACCTTTATTTCTAACTTGAAGCTATTTCATAAAATCACATGCCAATTCTCATGTATGTGGTCATAATTGTTTAGGAGAAATATATATATGATGTTATGTTTCTTATAATTGTCGTATTTAATAAATGCCCACCTGCTGGATAACGATAAAAATTATGATTTATTTGGACGACGGAATGAGTAAACTAAATGTTACGATATTTTTATTTTGTTAATTTATCACATATAGACTGAAATCAGCGATTCTACTATACAAATGAAGCTGTACAAATGTAGTTATGCAGTATCTTAGATATCATACTTCAATTACCTATACTATACTTTTGAATTAATGTTGGCGTAGTTTTTCAACTTCATGTTGCATTTGTTATTTCATTATCCGTTGCTACAAATGTAGCTTACAAAATTATTAAGAAGTTAAGGTTGCAAATATTTCATGTTAATCTTAAATAAATATAGCAACTTTTTTTGGTCCAATTTTGAACCTAAAGCTCCTAATGTTCTGTTTATACATCACTTGCTTCTACACGTTTTTTTTTATCTTTACGAATGAGTTGAATCCAGAAAAAAGCGCTTTGGACGCATACTATTTATAGTATATTTTTTTTCTGAAAAAGCGAAATGATAATTTCACAGCTTTATCACTCATCTTGAAAAACCTTCGTAAGAGGTCTGTCTTAAGCATATAAGAAAAACAAAGCCTGCAAAAGACTTTAGTCAAGTAGGAATGACAATTGAATGTTGAAAACAGTTTGTTCATTTACAGCACACAAAGTTTGCAAATCCAATACTGTGATGGTGTCAGTTTTGGAGAACTGTTAGATGTTATCAGCATTGTTTTTCACAAAGTTCGTTCCGGTCCAATGACCATAATTTATATATACAGTGGAAATTTATCCTTATGTTTCATATTATTAAACAAGAAGATTAATTTGTTTTGTAATTCTTTATCATGCCCCTGAACAGGTTGTAATCTTTTTCTTTTAAGGAATCTAAGCTATAACGTTCAATTCATTGCGAGATTCTCAATCATAAAATATGTTTGAAAGGTGTAGCAAGTACTAACATTTATTTCAATCCGTTCAATTTATATGGAAGACAAAGTAACATAGCTAAAAAAAAATTACCTAACATAATATATATAATATACATACTAGGACATTCGTGGGTATTACAAGTATCCAAATCTAAAGTATTGCCATTACAATATTCTCCGCCATGAGAAGGAGGAGGATTGTCACACAGTCTTCTCCTTGTCCTATTTCCTGACCCACACGAAGCCGAACATAAGCTCCAAACTCCCCATTCTGACCAGACGCCAAAGACTAAAAGATAGTTTAATTTGAAATCAACTATTTCTATAAACTAGTCTTAATGCCCAATCATAACAGTTTCAACTAATGAAATAAAAATAGCTGATTATGCGGTATGGGTTTTACTAAATGCTGAAGGCCGTACGGTGAACTATAGTTGTTAATTTCGGGTCTCTAGTAGAAAGTTGACTCCTTGTCAAGCATACCACATTTTCTATTGTTTATAGTTTATTGGATTTTACCTGGAACTTCCTGAAGGTTATATTAGTGGTTTGTATGTACATGTGAAAAATCGATAACAGGTGGTTAAACGTTAAGCTCTGTTTATTTAAAGTAATACAATTAAATATAAAAAAAACAAAATGACAAACAAAAGATGCGAAATTTGTACAAACTTTAAAAAGGGCATGATGCTATACATATTCAACTGAGCTGATTGATATAAATGGATTACTGATTGTAACTACATAGACTCAGTGACGGATACAATGACACTTTGATGAAAAGAATCACTCACCTGGACAATTAATCTCTGCGCATATTGATATTTGGTCAGTAATGCCTGAACATGCAGATCCGCCAGCTGAAGGATATGGGTTGTTGCAAAAACGCGTGCGTTTCTGTACACCACCATCACAAGTTGCATTGCATTCTGACCACTTACTCCACCCTCCCCAACTTCCATCAACTTAAAACATGAAATAAAAATGTGAGATAGCTGTGTAAATGGAGTAATTGTTAACATATGCAATATTGTTATAGCTAACGATATTAATAAGTTTGAATGTAATGGGCTTCTGACTTAGAACAGGTGCATTGAAATGTAGCGGGTTTTAACTAGGTTGGTTGCGCCAAAAATCACCCCCTAACCGGTGACAGTGGTGCAACGGCACAATACAAAACAATCAATGAAAAACAAGTATGAGAAACAGCAATAAACGACAACCACTCAGTTACAGATTCAAGACTTCGGACAGGCACATATAGAGCTTAGCTTGATTTATTTTTAATTCATGAATGTCCCCACATTTCAGAGTATTTGATATATGATGTCAATAGTATACTGTTCATATTGAAATTTTGATCTCACTTTAAGGTTCTTCTTCTTATTTTTTTTAAACCTTTATTACAAGATGTCACTACCAAGTACACGACATTAGCTATTACATTTAGAGCATAGCAGCTTTGATATTTTGAAAGTCACCATTTGTTAACTTAAGATTGTAGCTACATAAAGTACGAATACAATTGATGTAGTCTATAAAATGGTTCTGCCATGAGTGTTTAACTAGTCACGACCTGTATCACGTTTGTTTCTTCTGTTAAAACAATTTTTTTCTGTAACTTTTTATGCTATAATACTATCAACATCTTCATATACAGTCTCTGTTTTGTTTTATTTGAATCACTAAGTATCTTGAAGAGAACGCAGACATACATTTTGTGAAATTAGAAACTACACAATCACAAATCGTCTCAAACTAGTAGTTTGAAATGTTAATTAACTATATTTGTCGTAGAACGTATAATTGTTTCGATCATAAAAAAAAAAAAAAAAAAAAAAAAAAACCCAATTACAAAAAGAAAAACCAGCACGTACTATGGCGTTGTTTTGTTAAATTTCATTACTTCCTTTCAACAAATTTTAGAAATGAATTAGTGATTGTCAACATCATCGTACGACAAATAACAAACACAATAGACAAACATACCTGTACATCTTGCAATGCTGCAGTTTAGTACTTCGAACGACTTCCCATTACAGTATGCGCCATTTGATGATGGTACAGGATTATTACAAAGGCGGGATCTCGTTTGATGGCCAGAATCACAACTAGAACTACAGATTGTCCAGTCTGACCAAGATCCCCAGTTTCCATTAACTTACATAAAAAAAATGTTCACTAATAAATTGCATTCTAAATTCGATAAATGACCAGTTAAACCGGCCATTAAATCTTTAAAGTGATGTATTAGTTAAATGAACGTTTATCAACTGAATGTAATACATTTTAATAGCATGTTATAATTTATTTACCCAGGTAAGTTGACCTGATACAAACATACATAACGTCTAATCACTATCGTCACATACTTGTAGTTTGCAATGCTTATTATAATATATAAGAGAGATTGGCTACCTCGATGATAATTTATACAAAAGTAAAATAATTAAAAAAAACAACACGGAAAACAGCACTTTAAAAAAATATATATTAAGATTTTATTTGTACTTTGAATATATTGACAGCAAATTTAAAGGATATATTTTTGCTCGTCAAAATAATCTTAGAGATAAACATACCTGTACACGTTGTAATGCTGCAGTTAAGTACTTCGAACGACTTTCCATTACAGTATGCGCCATCTGATGATGGTACCGGATCATTACAGAGGCGGGATCTCGTTTGATAGCCAGAATCGCAACTAGAACTACATACTGTCCAACCTGACCATGATCCCCAGTTTCCGTTAACTATCAGCCAAAAAAGTGAAATTTTAATTGCATTCTGAACAAAGTTTTGATAATATGACCAGTAAAAATATCCAATAAATCTTGAAATAGTGGCAATAATGAAATAACATAAATCAACTGATTTGTGTATTGTGGTCCTGTCATGTATTGTTGTCGTTTTGGTGTTGTGTTTGACGTTGCCATAAAAGCGGGAGGTTTGGCATGCCACAAAACCAGGTTCAACCCACCATTTTTTTCTTAAAATGTCCTGTACTAAGTCAGGAAAATGGCCATTGTTATATTATAGTTCGTTTCTGTGTGTGTTACATTTTAATGTTGTGTTTTTGTTGTGTCGTTGTTCTCCTCTTATATTTGATGCGTTTCCCTCAGTTGTAGTTTGTAACCCGGATTTGTTTTTATCTCTATCGATTTATGAGTTTTCGAACAACGGTATACTACTGTTGCCTTTATCGATAACATGTTATCAATTATTTACACAGGTAAGGTGATATGGAAAACATACATTACGAGTTATCACAAATTGTCACATACTTTTAGTTTGAAATCTTTATTAACTATAATATCTGAGAGAGATTGGCTATCGCGATGATAAGTTAAACAAAAGTATAACAAACAACACAAAAAAAAAAAAATCAACAACCAAGAAATAGCAAGCATTTTTATCATGGTACTCTATATAAACGTATCGAGATTTTACTTGTACCTTGCAAATATTGACATCAAATCCCCAGTCTCCATTGACTTACAGCAAAATTTTTGTTTTATATAAACTGTATTCTAAACGAAATTTCGATAATATGACCAGTAAAACTGGTCAATAAACCTTGAAATAGATGCAATGGTAAAATGTACATAAATTAACTGATGCAATAGCATGTTATCATTTAATTACCAAGGTAATGTTATATGTCAAGATTATACATAGTTTCTTATCATAAATTGTCATATACTAGTTGTTTGAATGGTTGTTTACATTGTCGGCATTTCTAAGGGAACGAACTGTGCGCCTCTCCTTGCCGACCTATTCTTATTTTCATATGAATCGGAGTTCCTTCAGACACTTGTCAAAAAAAGAAGATCAAAGCAGCCAGGTCATTTAATTTCACTTTCAGATATATTGATGATGTTCTTTCCATTAACAATCCAATCTTTCTAATTGGATTCCATTGATATATCCCCAAGAACTTGAAATTAAAACATACACGGCTTCCTCCGCCTCATTTTTAGACCTATAACTCGAATTTGACATGCATGGCCATCTCATTACCAGAATCTATTAAAAACGAGACGATTTTAATTTTGATATAAACAATTTCCCACACCTTAGTAGCAACATACCAACTTCATCTACATATGGGATATTTCCCAACTTGTTCGGTATTCAAGAGCCTGCAGCTACTACTCAGACTTTGTAGAACATGACTAGTGTATACGCAGAAAGTTGAGAAACCAGGGGTATGTCAAAGAACGTTTCGTCATTTTTTCTAAAGAAGTTCTTCGGAAGGTAACATGACCTTGTTGATAAATATTCCGTATCAATTTCACAAATAATACACGATGGACGTTGCTTATCATCTTAATAACATGTTATACTTTTTTTTAATTTGTCTTTAAGAATATTACTTTTACTATTAAGTCTGTTTTTATTGCTATTCATTTTGCGTGGCTCGGTGCTTGTACATCCCGTCATTGTGTTGTTGTTCTGTGATAATTTTCTTGTTCTTGTCTTTCATTTTGCTAATGTGCTTTGCCTATATGCCTTTTGGTGTTTCTTTGCTACATATGACGTGGCTCTGTACTTATACATCTCGTTATTGTGCTATTGTAAAACATTTTTATGTATTCTTGCCTTTCATTATTGCAATGTGCTTTGTTTATATGCCTTCTTATATATATATTGATATATATATGACGTGGCATTGTACTTGTACATCCCGTTATTGTACTATGGTAAATTTGTGTATTCTTGTCTTTTATTTTTGCTAATATGCTTTGTCTATATGCCTTTTTGTGTACTTTGTTCCATATTTGTTTGTTTTATAGTGATTAAGATTAGAACACAATGTTGACTGCTGTACCCCATTTTTGACATTTTTACATATTGTGTCTGTTTATTTTGTTCACACATTGTTGTCAATATAATGGAATTTGATGCGACTTTCATACAAGTGTAGGAGACTGGTCCTACGACTAGAATAAACCAACCTTCCTTACCATTATACATACTTAAAATGAACCCATTAATGCGGATGACAATATAACTTCAATATTAAAGTATTGAAATTAATAATTTCTTATTAACGTTGACAGTTTTTACAATGAACGCGTACTTGGTCTTATATCTTCTTGAACAACGTTTATTAGATTCATTATTATACTATACCTCCGCAGCCACCAAAGCATCGAATGCCTACATTTTCACTTGTAGTACAGTCATGACTTCCCCATCCATTATGTGAACATTCCTTTAACGAAGTTTCTAAACCAGTACAACCTACTCCGTCCATCCATATTTTTGCAGTGTAGCCCCCTTGTGTATAAATCTGTACATCCGACCAACATCTAGATCTGTTAACATTAAATTGTATAATGAAAGATATCTTTTTTTCGTCATGTAAAATTGTTAAATTATGTTTTTGTATCTGAAATAAATGCCGACTGCAAATATGCGCTATTATAAAGCACACACATTTAATCATTTAGTGTCTGCATTTAACCTTGTCTCGAGGTCAGAAATCCAGTGTTGCTGAAGCCTCACTTTTCCTCATTTATTGTATGACTATATATTGTCTAACGTTCGTCTACGCATGCAGATAGTCACTACGTTATATTCTTACGATTTTGTATAGACTTACCTTGTCCTTAATAAATTGATAAGCTTTTTTCAAAAAGAGACTGACAAAATCATGACAAAAGTTACAAAAAAATATAAAATAGAAATGAAATCCTATGATTTTTCGTACTTTTTTTTATCATTTATATAAGTGTGTTAGGATTTACGAAATACTGTTACAGTATCTAAGAGACTGTTTTCGGAATTTATACGTTCTCAGATATCTAATATTTAAATTTGATATAATTGCTTAAAATCAAAAGGAGACAACTATTAATGGGTTATTACATATCGAATCTCAAATAATGTTGTCATTCTTTACTGTATTGCAAAAAAGGTTTGAGGACATTGAATTTAAAATTAAGAACGTTAAAAGTTTGCTCCGTATGAAACTATGTTCTTTTATAATTATATTCCATGGTTAATAACATCATCATTATTCCGAAAGTCATTTGGAATATTTTGTCGCAATGTCTATGAGGTCAATAACAACGCCCTTAACTTGACAAAACGGAGACAAACAAAAAACAACCTATTGGAATTTGTATTGAGAATAAAAGGGAAGTAACTTTCTGTTTTAATAAACAAAGTATTCCATACCGAAAACCTAGTTGTCTACATGCAACACTGCCGTCAACATAATTAAAACTGTCGTCACAGACACTTCCCCATATGCTACTATGGAATATTTCAAGTCTCCCTTCTCTAGAATGGGAACCACCAACCAGTCTTAAATCACCTATTACCGACAAAAAAAAATAGATTATTAAATAATTAAAAAAAAATAATAAAAGCTTGTGATGCCTGTATCATTTAAGTTTCGTTTGAAGTTTCTCTCTTGCTTTGAAATGTGCATGCACTGGATATTGATCCTTATATATTCCAAACTAATCCATACGGACTATTTGAGGAAACAGAAAACTGAACAACACTCAAAAGACCTCCTAAAACTTACTTATAACTTTTACTGATACAGTTACGTTCTCCTGGAATAATTGAGAGTACACACATAACATAAATAAGAACTGTTTCAAAACTACTTTAGAAATGTATGTTATGTACATTATTCTTGAAGTATATAAAAATACAATAAACTCTTAAACATAATTACCTACCATCATTTTGTCCCTCAGCAACACGGGTACTCATGAACAGCGTTGTAGATACAAGGAATAATTTCCACATCTCAGTTTCAATATTTCAGTATAAGTAATAATTACTATAAAACAATATAATGTTCCACTCTTTAATATTTCATTATCAACAATAAACATTTTAATATTCTCCTAAATAACATATCTGTTATATATAATTTGCAAAATCTTTATATGAGTTAACAAACTTCTTACTTCTATCTATTGTATTTTCTCTGATGTTTTCTCCTTTTGGTTTTCATATTTTATTCATAGAAAATTCACCACATAAATAAAAAGATCTGGATTTCGGCAAATTATTCGAAAAGTTATTTTTTTTGGGTAATGTCTTCCCTCTGTTATGTCTTATATCACTTTGATTAAACGTGGTGGAAACAGTGTATAAATACAGCAATTTTTGATAAATACTAATACTGACAATTTATATCAAAGAATGGACTCAAAATACAAATGCAAAGCAAGGCTTGGTTTATCTTTGTGGTGTGTTTGCAATTCTTGACATTATGAAGACTTTAATGTCCAAACATTGATTTCAACAAACGCAGACAAATTTGTTCAAAAGAAAAGAAATAACACAAATACCGAAATCTCAGGAAGAAAAAAAACCCAGTTAGAATGCATATTTTATTCAAATGATTATATATGGTGTCATGTATAAATATATAGATAGATGATAATTACATGTACATGTACATTTGTACAAGGATAGATGATATTTATAAAGGTATATGTTAATAATTTATAATGGGAGTTTTTTTTCCTCGTTTGCTTTTCCTCCGACAAATGAGACTGATTGTTTTTTTTTCGAAATTATTCTTACGATAGATCATCAGTATATGTTTCCCGAAATAGAATTTTCTTATACTTTGCCAAAATGTAGATTTTACTATGCTCTTTTCAAACATATAATACAAAGGATAGGTCACCGTCCTATTTTTCAAACTGTGAGTCGTAGAAAATTGCCTTAATTTGCTTACAGTGATCATGAAAAAACACATTTTTGTGCATAAAAAGAAATCTATGAGATAGAATTTTGAAATAAATTGTGAGAAGATAAGTTTTATAATATGTTTTAAGAAAATAAAAAGAAAAAATGGTGTCACCGTACTTGTTTTCTTGCTACAATTAAAAAAAAAAACAATTCCCTCTATCAGTCCAGTACATTTTTTTACTGAAAGAGTTATCTCCCCTTAAATGACTTAGTTGAAAAAATTTATTCTAAAAAACAAATGTTTGGTATTTGTTTAAAAATTTTGGATAATGCAATAAATCAGCAAGTTTTCCTCATATAAATAAACAGTCTAACCAATAAAATTACACATCTGTCTGCAAATTTGCAGATTTTCGCAAATAACTAGACTGATTGTTTACTGCGATAGTACAATCCAAGATGGCGGTATATCATGAATCTACCTTAAATCTTTTGTACTAATATTAAAATATATCGAAGAAAAAACTATATATTTGGTGCAAGACATTTAATCAGTCCAAAAATAGCATTGCGATATAATTCAGAAATATGTTTATTCTAGTATTCACTAACTACATGAACTATTCCCACTATATGTATGCATTACGTAAGTCGATGGAACATATAGATGAAGCAAGTCAGTTAGACTGTAAAAATCGGGGCCCCCTTGGTTGCTTTCCAGGGCTACTTAGGGTTGATGTAACAAGCGATTACTAATAAAATATGTTTAAAACTAAAAAAAAAAAAAAAAAAAAATAAAAAAAAAAAAAAAAAAAAAAATCTCAGGAAAGTTCTCTTTCTTATGTAAAATATGGTGGATAAAACGTTGTTTTATGATGTTATAGCTAGTTAAACCTCTGACGTGTATGACAGTTGCGTACAAATCATGACATTGAAAACAAGGTGTGACGAAAACACACAGACATAACAGGTAAATTCAGAAATTGGGATACAGCATTCAACATTGTGTTTAATCTCGAACACTACATTGTAAAGAAAAAAACATGTCAACAAAGAAAGAAGACATAAGGACACTACAGAAAAACACATAAGCAAAAATGAAAATAACAAAATCGTCTCATTGATCAGAGATTCTTCTGACGAGATGACCGCTTATGTCAAATTCGAGGTATAAGTCTATAAATTGGCGGTAAGACCTGTTTCTGTTTTATCGTTAATTTCTTGTCGTGGGGGATATATATATAAATGGAACCCAATTTAAAAAAAATGGGTTACTAATGGAAAGAACATGATCAATATATCTGATTGTCAAATAATGTAATAAGACCTCTTTTATCTTCTTGTTTTGAAATGTTTCTAAAGGAACTCCGACACATATGAAAATAATGAAGAAAGAGGTAGAAAAGAAGAGGCACACATTTGGTTAATTTCCATAGGAATGCCGACAATTAATGGTAAATGTCTGCTTCCAAATTCAACAAATATTTGGTCAATGAAAAACTCATAACATGCCTTAGCATTAAAACATTTTTTTATATATATTATGAGTCTATTCCAATTGACTTCAATTTAAATGTTGCATCTCGCTATTTTTTTTCGAGTGTCTAACACGAATGAAAATGGAAGGTGCATTATCTTTTGAAATTCTATTAGATACTATACCAATGTAAACAGTTGGTGATTTTATTTTAAAGAAACAACAAAATCCTAACAATATATACATTTATAAATAAATCATATGTTGCAAAATTACACATGGTATGCTTAAGTTTTATATCTATATTGTCTACCCTGGAAAGGATAATCACACCGGAAATTATGTTCGATCCAAAATTGTACTTCTATTATCCTCCTCTTAGATATGTTATTCCTAACATTAAATAAAGCACCGGATGACATTTTTTGTTGAATTAGAAATGTAAGAAAAAGTGGTACAATATTAATAATGAATGAAGAATAAGAACAAAAGTTACGAATATCTAGTTGAGTTGATAGTCATTATGTCTTATGTTATATTCTACTCCAAAAATAATTAAACTCTCGGGACAGTTTTTTTTTTTTGGTGTGTGTGGTGGTGGTGGTGGTGGCGGTGGTGGTGGTGGGGGGGGGGGGGGGGATGTGTGGGGGGTGGGGTTGTGAACAAAATATTTACCAAATGACAAAAACCTATATTATTTTGTTATGAATAACGTAATGAAATTGTGAAAAAGTTTACCTTTGTGTTGTATTTGCCTTATTTAAAATTAGTAAGGCTTTTTTGTCCAGACATTTTTTATTTAGAAAAACACAATTGAATTTGTTCTAATAAGTAAATAATATATCTCGTTTAAACAATGAAAGAAATGTCTGTTCAACTACAAATGCAGACTTATGAAGGAATTCCGTCAATTCATATCTTTACAGTGTAAACTGCTCAATAGTTTAAATCATTTAGAAGTAGGAAATCAGTATTATACAATTTCTTGCATTAACGTCATTTGTTCTCTGTTGGGTAAATAGTTGTCCTGTAAGAAATCATACTACATTTTACACAAACATAGATCTCTTTTCATGAAGCTTTTGTTTGAAATATATGCCTTAGTCTTAGATGCATGATTTATTTTATCATTTAATATTTGCTTTGAAATAGCTGTCAGTAGCTGCGAGTACTCTAGGGTAAGTACTTAGTGTCATTTTTGTTGGGAATGTATAAGTAGCCTGCCACTTCCACTCGGTGTTTTTGTGCTGTGCTTTTACACCTCTGTCCCATATCAGGGGAGGGTTGGTGCGCCTTCAAGTATGTTTAATCCCGCCACATTCTAAATACGTATTTCACAAGTCAGTAACTCAGTGGTTGTTGTTTATTGGTGTATATCATATTTCTTTTTCATTATTTTGAACATAAACCAGGCCGTTAGTTTTCTCGTTTAAACTATTTTAAATTTGTTATTTCGAGTCCTTTGATAAACAATGCGGTATAGGCTATACCCATTCTTGGGAGCCACACGGTTGCTTATAGTTGTTAATGTCTGTGTTTTTTAGTCTATTGTGGATAGTTGTCTCGTAGTCAATAATACTACTTCTTTTTTAATTTTTTATGGGTTAATGTCACAATAATTGAGATGCAGCAGGCAAAACTTTATAAACACAAATTACAGACATACCATTCAACTGACTATAAGTTCGAACAAACATACAAATTAATCTTACAAAGACGCCAACGAAAGAGGTGTAGTAAATAATACATTTAAAATTTGACAATGACCGTCTACGGAAAAATGCAATGTAAATGTATAGGATTGAGATATAACGCAGACAGAAAATCGTTGAAATCGTATCCATTCTTCCATTAAAATGCTTTATATACAAACGTAATTTATTAAAATTGATATCAAACCAACTAACCTAATGAGCAGCAGTTCCAAAATATTGCACATTTAACCAGTTCGAGTGTCATTGATGATATTTTGTTGCCGAAAAGTGCGTCTGGCGTACACCATTTAAGCCTGGTATCGTTGCTGAGTTGTACTAATTTATGTACAATGATTTGTGCAATGGTACTGGTTCGGATACATTCGCAGAAAAATTACAGGATATCGTATTTTATACATATATATCTGGATATCTATAATATAATTATGTTTGGATAGTAGCATTGTTGGCGGGTGTTGTTTGTGGTACAAACGAATCAAGTCAATTTTTTTTGAAAAATACCAACCCTACTGTATGAAGTCTATTATATTGAATATGTATTCATATTTTATTCATTAAAGGTATTTAACAATTACAAACAATACTCATTATACTACCAATTTTAAAAGTAACAAAACGAAATAACAAAGTAGTAGTAAACGAATAAATTAAATAACATTTTGTATTATTTACTTAATGCGGGCGCACACTCTTTCATAATGGTCTGATTGAAGGTGAACATGCATATGTATATCACAAATATTTCCTCCTGAGTGATCATCAAAGGAAATTTATGACAAATAACATAGATTCAACGTATAGGATACTGAAATTTTAAATCACACGCATACTAATTTCTGTGTAAGTTTATTCATTATTGAAAGCAATTTAAAGAAACTAAAAAAAAAAAGATTTATATGAATCATCATCAAGCATCATGAGCATGTCAAGGAAGATATTTAT